CCACCACCCTCAGTGATGGGGAGAAGCACGTGGTTTGTTGGGGTTTCAAGGAACAATAAGTTATACGCACGTTGGTGTCTGGTTTTGTTTGTCCTAAATGGAAGCGTCCGTGTTATAGCCCCACTTAAACGTGTTTTCCCCACACTCTAGTCCCCTAAAGAGCCCGAACAGCTGCGGAAGCTATTCATCGGAGGGCTGAGCTTTGAAACAACTGATGAGAGTCTGAGAAGCCATTTTGAGCAATGGGGAACACTCACGGATTGTGTGGTAAGACTTGGAAGGGACAAAAGGCAGTAGAATTAGTTGGAATTAGTTGATTTCCTAGGCTTATTCTGATATTAATCTTGTCAGAATGCTTTGTGAAGGTGGTTAATAGAGGTAATAATTAGAAATAACGTGGCAAAGGGACTGCCTTTGTTCTTTAGTGTACAAAGCTATCTCAAATCTACCGTAGTGGGAAACTGAATGGCTTTGTATACAGGATTGGTGTAAAGTTTCTTCTTGGCCTTAAAATAGAAATGACATTACTTTGTAGAGTTGGGCTGTGTATTAAGTGAATTAACACTGTTCGCAGGTAATGAGAGATCCAAACACCAAGCGCTCCAGAGGCTTTGGGTTTGTCACTTATGCCACTGTGGAGGAAGTGGATGCAGCCATGAATGCAAGACCACACAAAGTGGATGGTAGAGTTGTGGAACCAAAGAGAGCTGTCTCACGAGAAGTGAGTGATTTTCCCCTCCCCCAATATTCATTTGAAGGTGTGCTACTGATTTGGGAGTCTTCTAAGCTTTTTAAAATTCTCCTTTTGGGAATAGATCTTGCTTGTGTAAAGTAACTTAAGTAAATTTCCTCCTGATAGGATTCTCAAAGACCAGGGGCCCACTTAACTGTGAAAAAGATCTTTGTTGGTGGCATTAAAGAAGACACTGAAGAACATCACCTACGAGATTATTTTGAACAGTATGGGAAAATAGAAGTTATTGAAATCATGACTGACCGAGGCAGTGGAAAGAAAAGGGGCTTTGCTTTTGTAACTTTTGATGACCATGACTCTGTGGATAAGATTGTCAGTAAGTAACACATTGCTGACATTTACTGAGGGTTTTAAGATCCACTTGAAGTCTCGATCTAAGACCAGAATTTTATCTTTAAATTTTTTTAGTTCAGAAATACCATACTGTGAATGGCCACAACTGTGAAGTGAGGAAAGCCCTGTCAAAGCAAGAGATGGCTAGTGCCTCATCTAGCCAAAGAGGTACATTTATTATTACTTGATTGTGATGTAAAGGTAATTCTGAGTTACTGTGAGCCAATGTGTGGTTTAACACGTAAAAATTTTTTTTCTATTAAGGTCGAAGTGGTTCTGGAAACTTCGGTGGTGGTCGTGGAGGTGGTTTTGGTGGAAATGACAATTTCGGTCGTGGAGGGAACTTCAGTGGTCGTGGTATGTGTTGTTATTTAAGGCTTAGTGAAAATTGATAGTGACCATATAATTCTATTGCTCTACATCACATCCTTTTTACAACCCACAATAGTTACAACTGGCCTACACTTCCAAAGTTACATTTTTATTTAATCATGGTTCTGGCTTGACCCTAACCAAAAGTTAATCTTTAGTGTGCAATTAACATATTATACACCTCATATATAAAATCTTTATTATAGGTGGCTTTGGTGGCAGTCGTGGTGGTGGTGGATATGGTGGCAGCGGGGATGGCTACAATGGATTTGGTAATGATGGTAAGTTTTTTTAGAGAAACGTGTGTGTAAGTAAAAATTTCTGGCAACCTATACCTTTAGAATAGGATGGTAGAAACTAAAACTCCTAGTGCATGACGAACTCAACTTGGCCCATAATTTGCATGCTGTAAAGGAGGCCCTTAGCTATCAAATTTGCACCGGTTTTTATTGTTGAATACTTTTGTCTTATTGAGAAGAATTGTATTCTTGTAGGTGGTTATGGAGGAGGAGGCGGCCCTGGTTACTCTGGAGGAAGCAGAGGCTATGGAAGTGGTGGACAGGGTTATGGAAACCAGGGCAGTGGCTATGGCGGGAGTGGCAGCTATGACAGCTATAACAACGGAGGAGGCGGAGGCGGCTTTGGCGGTGGTAGTGGTAGGTATCCAGTGATCCAAGTACTTGGTGTGATAGCTAGATTAGCCTTTTAGAGTTTATGCCTGTATTGGAATTTGGAGCTTTTAAAGCATTGTGTGGTACACTGCATGGTACATTTAAAACAAGCTTGCTGTGCTACCTCCTCCTAGCTTTAAGCTGGGGCCGCCTCACTCCCTTATAAGTAGATGGGTATGTGTATAGTGGTGTCTTAAATTTGAGTTAGATAAGCAGTACCATGGCAGGACACTTAGTTTTGAAACAACATTGGGACCTTAGGTACTTAGGTGATTTAACCAAGAAGCTTGTATTTGCACTGGCCTTGGATGTGGAAGAAAGGCCTTAAGGCTGGAGAGTGCTTGCAAATGCCACTAGGGGAAAACTGTTGAGTTGAATGATGGGTTTTGAATACCTTGCCCAGAGATAAAATATAAGGATTTGGAGCCACCAGTTTGGGAGGAAGGCAGGCAGCTAATATATAACCTCTTTTTATTCTGAACACTAAGCAGAATTGGGCACTATCAGTCATCTTCCCCAAGTAATAGACAAGTCCCTCTTTCCATTCCTAGGAAGCAATTTTGGAGGTGGTGGAAGCTACAATGATTTTGGCAGTTACAACAATCAGTCATCAAATTTTGGACCCATGAAGGGTGGAAACTTTGGAGGCAGAAGCTCTGGACCTTACGGTGGTGGAGGCCAATATTTTGCCAAACCACGAAACCAAGGTATTATATATTTATAATATTGGTTGATCTCATAGGACTACCAGTTTTGAAGGTGGTATATATGTAAATAATGAAAAGCTGATAATTTAACAATTGTAAGTAATTTGCAATCAAATTTGAAAACTTAACATGACCTTCTCACACCTTTGTCACTCTAGGTGAAGGTCACTTTAATGGCCGTTCCTTCTTTGAACGTGTCATTGCCTCAAATCGGTATTTCACTGACATTTCCTAAATATAAATGAAAATTTTTTTAGGTGGCTATGGCGGTTCCAGCAGCAGCAGTAGCTATGGCAGTGGCAGAAGGTTTTAATACTGCCAGGTAAGTAAGTAGTACCCTTTTATTTTTTTTACATGTTGACTTAATTTTTATAATTGCTGATGAACCCAGTAACCCTAATATAGCTGAGCAGTGCAACATAGTTAACATTATAATTGCAGTAAATTGTGGATGTTAAGTTAATATTCAGATTAGCAAAATTTGTGGGAAACAACTTTGCTATTGGATTATAGCCTTGAGTCTTAATATGTTTAGATTAACAACTTTATTCCATATTGTTCAACAGGAAACAAAGCTTAGCAGGAGAGGAGAGCCAGAGAAGTGACAGGGAAGCTACAGGTTACAACAGATTTGTGAACTCAGCCAAGCACAGTGGTGGCAGGGCCTAGCTGCTACAAAGAAGACATGGTTTAGACAATACTCATGTGTATGGGCAAAAAAAACTCGAGGACTGTATTTGTGACTAATTGTATAACAGGATATTTTAGTTTCTGTTCTGTGGAAAGTGTAAAGCATTCCAACAAAGGGTTTTAATGTAGACTTTTTTTTTTTTTTTTTTTTGCACCCATGCTGTTGATTGCTAAATGTAATAGTCTGATCATGACGCTGAATAAATGTGTCTTTTTTTAAATGTGCTGTGTAAAGTTAGTCTACTCTGAAGCCATCTTGGTAAAACTTCCCCAACAGTGTGAAGTTAGAATTCATTCAGGATGATGCCAGGTTCAGAAACCTTGGTGTAGTTGTGACCTTCTGAAGTTCACCATTGAAAGGGTCACCCAAGCAGTCATGGAATTATTTGGTTAAAAAAATGATTGTTGGCATATCCTATGCAATATCTAAATTGAATAATGGTACCAGATAAATAATAGATGGGAATGAAGCTTGTGTATCATCCATTATCATGTGTAATCAATAAACGATTTAATTCTCTTGAATGGAATGAAAACTGTATGGATTTGGGACTGGCAGAGATTTGTACTTTTCCTACCCACTACCCCATAAATGTTGAATGCTTCTATCACAATGCAAGTTCAAAGCTCTGCCAGAGAATAGAAACCAGTTGCTGGCTAGTGCCACCCCTCAAGGCCACAGATTAGAAGTGTTTGGGAGACATTTGATAAAATAAGAATTTTAATTTACATGAAAATAGGCTTTCATATTAAAGGAAAACTGCAGTTTTGCTGGGTCGTGGTCTTGGGTGGGTCTAAAAAGGTTTATATATAATATCAACCAGTTACCTGGAGGGTAAAACTAGAAATATGTGGAGCCATGTTTTCTATGTAATTTTGTGTTAACTGCAGTTTTCCTTTAAATTCAACACAAAGATAACACGATCATCCTACGGTGATAATTGTGTAGAAATTCCAAATAGACCCAATAATTGTTATTTGTGCATAGATACTTTTGAGCCTTCCCTTTGGTACCCTCTCAATTTCAGTGCCATTGTACCTAGTAGCATAGATATTTGTTTATACAATAGGACTGTATATTCCATCTCATGGGTGTATCACTTGGAAGTTTTGGGGAGGAGGGGGGTGGTTGGGTGGGGTGGGTGGGAGGGGGTGGGGGTGGGGAAGCATGGATGATAGTTCCATGATACTGGCTGAGTTTGCAATAGCAGGTGGAACCTTAACTATTAAGGGAGTTTGCAGATACCTCAGGATTCGTGACAAAGCCTTTAAAGTTCCAGGAGATGTTCAGCTACTAGGAACTGCTAGCAAGTATAGCGCGAATGGCTCCGAGCTCAGACACTCTGCAGCTGAGAGTAGACACTTGTGGTATGTGGAGTACAGATAAGCCAGGGGCAGGCCACGGCACGCTCCATGAAAGCTAGGAGGGAGTGAAGTTTCAGTGATCATCGCAAGAAAGGAGGCAGACAAGAGTAAGGCACACCTGACTCTTAGGACTAGCAGTCAGAACCAGGAGGAAAGGTTTTATTGCTATGCTGGTAGGTAAGAACAGATTTTACTTACATCCATTAGTTATCTAAAATCCAGTTTTCTGTTGCATTCTCCTTAATAAATTGAGCCAAAACTAGTCCAGTTAAGCTGCAATTGGTTTTTCTGGAGATGAATTCTTAATACCCTGCTCTTTGTTGACTCCCAATTGAAGGAAGTGAGCACATTAAATTATTTCTATTGTGAAGGTATATTTTTGCCCTATAAATTATTCACTTATTACCTTCCTTTCACTCGTTTCCTTAAAACAGTGGCTCAAAGTAATGACTAGAATCCTTTCCCCAAAATGGTGGGAGGTTGGGTGGGCTGTTTAATGGGAGGTGGGAGGTATAACGAAGATGGGACATGGTCTCAGAAAAGAGTTTGTTCTAAAAGGTTGTTTACTTTTCTAGGAGGAATCTGCTACTACAGGCTTATCAGCTCGATTAAAAAAAACGGCCAGAAACTTCTGTCCAAGTTCATTGCTAAAGGTAAGTTTTAACAATCAGCACTTACCATTTCCAAAGAATGAGATGTTGCACCTCAGATCAAAACAAAAATATTTCATAATGTTGGATTGTTTGTAGTCAGCAGAATTATTAGAACAACTAAGTGTTATCATAATGAGTAGATACAGTCATAGAATCTTTCTACTCTGCTTACGTAAATACTGATAATCTTTTTCTTTCTGCAGGAACATCCTTGTGAGGACAACCTTTATCTTAGTCAATGTACTTCATTCTCACTGCCATGCAGTTGGTTTTTAGCTGCTTTGCAGATCTGTAATCATTCAATTTTGTGAGTGACTTTTCTAATAAACTGGGTTGTTGTTGGTTGTTTTCTTTTTTTTTTTAGCTTTGTTTCTTGTTCCTCTTTGTTAATAGTAAAAGTAAATGACCTGATGCTGCAATCTTTGAAACCATTTCAAATTGGTGAATAGGTTATAGGGGTTTTAGTGATTTACACTAGTTGTCTGGTGGTAAGCCAGAAAAACAACATAGATGCTTAAAATGAAATCTTGTTTCCTGTTCGAATTGAGTTCCTGAAGTGGTTCTAATACTCTGGTTCTTTGTTTTGTGCTGGGAATTGAATCCTGGGCCTTCAGCATGCTATACAGATACTTTGCTGCTGTTCTGTACCCTTAAGCTTATATGTTTGGGATACATTATGGTTCATACTCACTGAGTCATGGTTTAGTAAAAGCCAAAAAAGCACAGTGGGGATAATATGACCCAATAGAAATAACGTTTACTTCACTCTACTGGAGCATGTGTTTCTAGCTCCCCTGCCAAGGAAAGGTCAAGTTATATAAGCTTAACACCTGCCACTGGGTTTAATGAATCTCTTTTGGGAGCTGTGTGCCTATCATGGAGAGGAAGAAGCATGATAGAACTCATCTTTGATTAACAAGTTGTACTTGTTGGCCAGATACCTCAGATTTAAAATTCTCATTCCAAGGGTAAGAAATGAACTGAATATGAAAGGAAAGAGTTTCTTAAAGGTATGACATGATGTCTGCAATTGTAGCTATTTGGGAGATTGAAACAGGAACATGATTTTGAGGCTAGCCTATGCAACAAAAGACCCATCTCAAAAGTCAAAGGTGATGAATAAAACGAAGCTTGGCATGGTGGCTCATGCCTAATTCTAACAATTCCAGAGGCTAAGACAATAGTATCACAAGTTGGAGGCCAGCCTGAGCAACTTGGTAAGATCATTTTACACAGTGCCATTTCTGCCCTAAATTTTTAGCAAAGAATTAGGGGGAAATTTTTCCTCTGTTCATGGCTATGTTACTCTGAAATACTTCATGGTGAGAGTCTTCCACCCTTACATGTTTTAAGAGTGGTGTCAGGGATCTGTTTTTGACTTGGATTTGCTAAAAGGCATCTTTTGGACAGTTATATGGAGGGAAAGAATTCTATGATCCTGTAGTTCACTAAAATAATTCCTATTGAAATTGAAAAGTGAGTTTTATCATATTCTACTTAGACAAGATTATGAAAGTAAATTCCCCATTTTTGGTACTGGGGATTGAACTTGGAAGCCTTTAGCCCCTGAGCCACATCCCTAACCCTTTTTTATATTTTAAGAAACAGGTCCTTACTGAGTTGCTTAGGGCCTCACTGAGTTGCTGAGGCTGTCTTTAAATTCAATATTCTGTCTTAGCCTCTAGAACTGCTGGGACTACAGGTGTGTGTACCACCACACCTGGCAAATTCCATATTTTTCACATGAGGAAATAGATTTGGTATCTTATTCAAGTTCCTATAACCACTTGGATCATATAATCCAGATAACTTCCAACTTTTGCAGATTACCATGTATCAAAAAAAGTACACTATTGCCTTACCCCATTAGAATGTGATCATGGGAAGGCTTTTTCTAAGCAGCTAGTCTAAGGCCCTGCTCTTTACAACTTGAAATGTGGGAATATCTTCAAACCTGTTAGAAATAGGAGGCATGGAGCCTATTCGGCACAAAAGTGTAATCCACCAGCTCAGGATGCTGAGGCAAGAGAATTTCAAGTTCAAAGCCAGCCCCAGCAAAAGTGAAGCACTAAGTGACTCGGTGAGACCCTGTCTCTAAGTAAAATACAAATAGGGCTGAGTCTGTAGCTCAGTGATTAAGTGGCCCTGAGTTCAATACCCAGTACCCTTCCCCTGACAAAAAAGGTGGGTCAGGTGTGGTGCATGCCTGTAATCCCAGCAGCTGGGCAGGCTGAGACAGGAGGATCACAGTGGTGGGGTGCAAAGAAGCTTTAGGCTTTTATTCCTTAAACCTAGGCTAGAGACCATGTGTTTCAGAATCTGTAAGCATTGGGGTTCTACTGGAAGTGTGTTTTCCCTGTTGGGATGGAGTTTGTAAAATGGTATGGTAGGATGGAGGTAAAACACTGCAGAAGGGAAGTGATATGATTCAGTGATGGAGGAGATAGGCACCAAACCCCAAGCAAAGAGATTATATGGTGTTAAAGCGTTTGATTAAACTTTGATGTGACTAAAAAATCTAAAACTTAGTTTATTATATCCTGGAGTTTTGTGAGACAAGGCTAATAAAAGATTTTCAAGATCTTGAAGAGGGCCCAGGCCCCAAAACAAGAATTGGGTAGTAATTATCTAATATGTCCAAAGATTTTATGAGAGTGCACATTTTACTTCACTTTAGACTAGGTTTTACCAGTGCTTCGGTATGAAATGCTCTGAAACTTTGGTATGTAATTGAATTCATTCCAATCAAGAACAACAGTTCACTCAGTTTTCTGAGAGCTCTGGCACATCATGACCAAAGCTGAGAAGCAGAAAGAAAAAAGCCTGTGGGCTTTTTTGTGCTCCACAGGTAGAAGAGAGATCTAATGAAACAGGTCTTGGTGGCACACACCTGTAATCCCAGCAGTTTGGAGGATTGCAAATTCAAGGCTAGCCTCAGCAATTTAGTGAGAGCCTCTCAAAAATAAATAAAAAGGACTAGGGATGGGGGTGTAAAGCACCCCTGGATTAAATCCCCAGTATCTAAACATCAGGAATCTTGCATGGAGGGCCCATCCAGTTTTGGCACCTCTCCCAACTTTATTAATGGGTCTTCAGAGAGAGAGGGGTTCCTCAGATCATCCATTATCCCTGTCTCTTAAAGGGGGATGAAGATAGATAAATACCTAGGCTTCCCTCCCCACCCCAACAAGCAGTGTCATAGGGAGTGCCCAGGTCCCTCAAGAAAGAAAACGGTGGAAAGCTATTTCTGCAGAACTTTTTATAGTCCAAAGTCTAGAGGTGGAGGTTGGAGGCCTGAGAAGCTAAGCTCCTTCCCCACCCTCAAAACCCCCCCCCCTGTTTTTGTTTGTTTGTTTGCAGTGCAGAAGATTAAACCCAGGGTTTTGTACTTGCTAAGCATGCTATGCAAGCAAACAAATCATCTTCCACAGCTGCATCCCCAGGCAAGGCAAACCTCTTCAAACATAACTTGTAGCTTCCAAATGCCAGGGTTCCCCCTTCTTTAGTTCTAATGAACTCAGTGTCTTCTGGATCTCAAGGTTCCCTTTATCAGTCCCCTTCTCTGAGCCAGTTCAATCTGTAGCCTCCATCTTGGTTCCCCGGGGCACCAGGAAGATGGTCCCATCTGCAGCCTGTTGCAGAGCATACTCATCAGGGGAGTAGCTGTTGCCAGATTCATCCCGAAGGTGCTGGAAAATGTCACAATACAGCTCTGCCAGCTGTTGGCGCATGACCTCTAGGGTACGGTCTGCCTCTCCCCGGGCCCTGAGAAGCCTCTCCCTTTCATTGCCCAGCCGTTCCAGCTCTCGTTCCAACTGCACAATGGTTTCCAGCTTTCTCTTACGACAGTTCTGGGCAGCCACCTTGTTCTTGCCCCGACGTCGGATGTCCCGAACTAGTGCCAGCTGGCTTTCAGTCAACGGATACCGTGCCAACAGCTCATTAAAGTCATCTACCGGCAAGTTGACAATCTTTTCTGTAGGAAAGGGAATCTTCATGGCCAGAGCCCGACGCTCATCCCGACTTCCTGCCTCACCCCGTGCAGTAGGCTTAGTGCGCACCGGGCCTGAGGAGGGCTCTAAGGCCATGGGGGTCTCAGCAGAGGGCAAGGCATAGTTGGGGTGGGCCATAGAGTTGGACATAAGTGAGTAAGGGTACTCCACTGGATACATCTCTACACACTCATTCCGCCGCCGGCCAGCCTCTGTCCCCTCCAGCTCAAGAGATTCAGCATCACTGTAGTTGAGGGATAATCCTGAGTCTGATTCTGGGTCCTCTTGGGGCTTGGGTGGCCCCGCTGGCAGCCCAATGTCTAGAAGGGTTAAGGGGTCTGGGAGGGGCTCACTGAGCAAGCCTGAAAGGGTCAGTGGCTTAGAGACTGGAATGGCCATGTTGCCATAGGAGTATGGGGGGTCTTCTGGAACATGAGTCACAGATGCTGGGAGCTCATAAGGTGGTGGAGGAAGTAGAAAACCTGGATCTGGGTGGATTGAACAGGGACAGTAGGTTGGGGGTGGTGGAGGTCCAGGGTATGGGGCCTGGGCTTGGAGCTCAAAGGATGGCTCACTTGGAGCATTTAGACCCTGCAAGGAAAGAGAAAAGAGTTTGGAGACAGGCTACCAAAGTGAAGCCAGCCCTGGGGCTGGGATTGTGGCTCAGTGGTAGAGCACTTGCCTAGCATGTGTGAGGCACTGGGTTCGATCCCGGCACCACATAAAAATATTAACAAAGGTCTTGTGTCCATCTACAACTGAAAAAAAAATTTTTTAAAAAGGTCCATTGACAACTAAAAAATATTTTAAAAAAGAAATCTGGGGATATAGCTCAGTTGGTAGAGTGCTTGCCTCACATGCACAAAACCCTGGGTTCAATCCCCAGCACCAAAAAAAAAAAGAAGAAGAAGAAAAAGAAGAAACCAGCTCTATCACAGTCCTTCCAAAGACCCAATGAGGAAAGATGTGCACAAAATTGGAAGCTTCTTGCAAAGTGGAGATGCAACCATTCCAAGAAGAAAGCAGCATAAGCAAGAATAGAAGTCACTGGGATCAGACTTCAGAGAAGACCACCTAATGTTAGAACAATTACAGAACCTCCTCCTCAAGAGAAGCTCTTACTGTATTAAAATAGCTCCTGCTCCATTATTTCCTTCAGGAAGGCAAGGTATTGTTAGCCAAGATGACCCCTCAGAACCCCTTCCTGCTGTGGTAATCTAGGGACAAAGGGTCAAGTTCAGTCCCTGGCCATGCCCTGGGTGCCAGCAGAGGGAGCTGTTGTGTGGAAGGAGGGCCTAGGGCAGATCCTGAAGGTGTCAGGGCCAGTGACTGGAGACAGGCACAGAGCCAGGCCTGGAGGCTAAGAAGCACCTTGGGGAACCTGCACAAGCTCTACCCTCTAACTCTTCAGTCCTTCTGTCCCTGCCCAGGTGCAGCGAGGAGAGAACATGCTGGAAACAAGGCCCCCAACCCACGTAGGGGAGCCACCTTGCTCCAACCCAGCTGGGGACAAAGGCATCATTGTTAGGCCAACAGACACCCCTTTGTCCAACTTGTAGGAGGAGAGGACCCCGGCATAGTGTGACTCCCCTTCCTAAGGCCCCTGAACTACTGCTCTGCTACCTGGGGGAAAGGGGCCCCGTTGCTAAGGGCAGGGGGAGGAAATAAGGGAAGAAGATGAGCAGGATTGGAGGAGAGTGAGGTCAAAAGAGAAGGTGAGAAAGGGAGGGCAGAAAAGGAGGTAGGGTAGAGAGGCGAGCAGGCAGTTTCTGAGAGGGGCCTCTACCCTAATCAGACCCTTCCCTCCCCACCACTCCTTCCCCAGCCATCCACGCTCCCATCTCCCCATTGTCCCCAGATGTTTCCATGCACATTCCCCAGCATTTCTTTTCCACTGTTGGCAACACTGGCAGCCTGAGATCTGCTCCTCCCACCCCTGCGCCAGCCTTCCCCTCCTGCGCACCTGCAGCTCAGCAATGGACATGATCTCTTGCCAAGTCAGTTCCATCTCGCCCAGCTCCACAGTAGGCAGCTGTGTCACCCTGTTCCTGCTCTGCTGGGGAGGACACGGGGGCATCCTACTGGGCCAGGATCTGGGCCAGGGTCCCCCAAAGCCCGAAGGGCCTCCACAACCTGTATGGAAGGAAGAAAGGCATTAGAGCAGCTTCTGCTAGGCCTGGCAAGTTTGTCCTGCCTCTGGGCTCCCTCCAGCTTCACCTGAGGGGAGGGAGACCTTGCCGGCGCACTCATGTTGGACTCTTAAACTGGAAGGTCCTTTTGTGTGATGTGATCTCCATCGCAGCTACCATGGCCATGGCAGTTCCCTTAGGAGGAGCGCAGTAAACTTTTACCTTTTTTTCAAACAAGGTGCTTTCTCCTTGCCCTACTTCTCACTCTCCAAAATTATATTCCTGGCCAGAGACAGGGTCAGATCTTCTGAACTTCTTAAACTTGGTTTGGTTTTCCATCTTGGGAAGAAATATCAGGAGTCACCCCAGCTTTCCTCCTGTGTCTTCAGTTTTTGGGTCTCAGTCTTTTCTTCCTGAGAGTAAGTGGGGGATCCCCAAGGAGTGTTTGGGAAGTGCAGACAGCCCCTCCCCTTCTCTGATAGGGCCCAGGCCTGGTGGCTGATAGCAGCCCTGCCCTCTCCTCCTATCCTGACCCTGGGCTCCCCTGCCTGGGCCAGATAAGAGGTTTATCAGCCGCAGGCAGCAGAGGCAAAAAAAGGAATGGGTTCTCGAGACCCTGGACCTCTTCCCTGTGTCCCCATAGGGTCATTTTGGCCATACCCTAACTCACATAAACAGGGGTCTTTCCTCTTCCGAGGTAATATGACAACCACAGCAAAGACTTATTAAGTCCTTGTCAAAACTGTCCTAAGCCAAGCATAGTGGTACACTCACTTAATCCTAGCAACTTGGGAGGCTAAAGCAGGAGGATCACAAGTTCAAGGCAAGCCTCGTCATCCTAGTGAGACCATTAGTAACTGGCCAAAACCCTGTCTCAACGAGAGAGAGAGAGAGAGAGAGAGAGAGAGAGAGAGAGAGAGAGAGAGAGAAAAGAAAAAGAACTGTTCCAGTGCTTTACAAGCATTATTAGTTTATAAGATTGATTTTCACAGTTAGATGCAGTAGCACACACCTGAAATCCCAGTGACTAGGGAAGCTGAAGCAAGAAGATCATCAACAACTTAGCAAAACTCTGTCTGAAAATAAAATATTAAGGGCTGGGGGTGTGGCTCAGTGTTAAAGAGCCCCTGGGCTCAATCCCAAGTAAAAAAAAAAAAAAAAAAAAAGAAAAAGAAAAGATTTCCACAGATCCTATAAGGTCTTTGATCCAAGCTGAAAAATGACAGGATATGATCTGGAACCTGACTCTGCTCATCCATAAGGCCTCCCAGTATCATTTCTGGGTCTTCATACTCTGGGCCTCTATTGGCAGTCTACTTCAGTCAGTTCTTTCTGTGGTGTCTCAGTCCCTTTTCTCTTCTGGGCAATATCTATCTCTCTCTCTCTCTCTCTCTCTCTTTTTTTCCCTGTACCAGAAGTTGAAAATTGAACCCAGGAGCACTTTACCACTGAACTACATCCCCAGGCCTTTTTTTTTTTTTTTTTTTTTTTTTGAGACAGAATCTCATTAAGTTGCTTAGGGCCTTGATAAATTGCTGAGGCTGGCTTCAAACTTGCGATCCTCCTGCCTCATCCTCCTGTATCGCTGGGATTACAGGTGTGCACCACCATGCCCTGCTGGGGAATACCTCTTTAGACCTTTGAGTACTACACTCCTATCCAGAGCCTGTTCTTTTCTCATTTATAAAACTAAGAAGTTAGACAAGTTGAACTCGGAGGTCCCTTTCTGCTTGACAGCTTAAAATCCTCAGAAAACCCTTATCTCTGTTTGTCTTCTCTCTGTCAGTCCCTTTCCTGGTCCTACCTTCCTATTCCCTGACACTGCATCTGTTCTCCTTGACTTCAGCAAGAGAAGTAGATTTAGCAGGGGATTTCTGATCTCTGAGGCCAGACACGGCATGCCTAGGTTTACACACCACCACCATTACAACCACCGCCACATAGAAGAGAAGCAGGCTAGAGTAAAGGAAATTTATAGGACAGAGGATAGGACTGGTTAACCTCATCCACCCACCGCAAGGATTGACCATCACAACTATTTAATAAGGAATTTACTCTTGGACTTAACTATAAAATTGGTGGAAAGTACAAATTATTCTTTTGAAAGAGGATCTCCCTGAGTCCTGTCTCCACCCCCTTATTATAGTGCCATCCCCAGAGCTGGGAGTCCATGTAGGCACAGGCCCTTGGCCAGTGGGCAGAGTGGGTGGGGTGTTTATGTCTGTCCAGGATGCCATTTCAACACCGGAAACCCACCCTCCCCCACCCAGGTTTGGCGGAAATTGCCCAAAGGCAAAGTGAATGGAGAAGGGGGCTTGGAGGGCAGGGACAATGATTCTTGCTTCACAGTTCTTCACCCACCTCACCCCTCTTTGTCTCTCCTGTCTTCCTGGATCTGAGCCAAAGGTGCAGTACAAAGATTCTGCTCTAGGAGGCAGGAGACCAGGTTCTCTGGCCTTCAAGATGCAGGACCTTGGGCAAATTACTTCACATTCAGTCTCTTCCATCAAATGGAGACAGGACTGAAGAAACTTATTGCTGAGAGGAATAGATTACATCTAGCTCTGGGAGTCACAACCTTTGTGTACCACATTCACCTGGGATACGTGTAAAAAACAAGATTCCAGAAAGCTGCTGCAGACCTGCTGGGTTAAATTCATAGCATAGGAACTAAGAACCAGCATTTTAACAAGTGCCCGATGATTCTCATGCAACAGCCCAATTTCACCATGAGAAACACTAAAATAATCCATCTGTATGGATTTACAGGAAAGAACAGAAAACCAGAAAGGAGATCAGCAAATGTTCTTCTCTAGATTTCTTCCAGCTTCAAAACCTTGATCTAGGCTGGGCTGGGGGTGGGGGTGCATTTCTGTAATCCCATGAGAGTTCAAAGCCAGCCTCAGGCAAAAAGCAAGATGTTAAACAACTCAGTGAGACTGTGTCTCTAAATAAAATCCAAAAAATAGGGCCAGGGATGTGGCTCAGAGGTCAAGTGATCCTGAGCTCAAACCCCAGTACCCTCCCTACCAAAAAAAAAAAAAAAAAAAAAAAAAAAAAAACCTTGATCTAGGCAGTTCATCTCTGAGCCTAGATGTCATGAGCCTTTGTTTTATTCTGTTGTGAGACAGGGTCTTGCTAAGTTTCCAAGGCTGGCCTCAAACCTGTCATCCTCTTTCCTCAGGCTCTTGAACAGCTGGGATTACAGGCATGCACCACCACACTGGCTAAAATCAGCCCTTTCTGATGAAGACCTGGAACTCGGTCTTCCCCTTCTTGCTGTAATAGGAAAATGAAAACATGGAAGAAGAGCAGGGAGAGGCAGGAGGCTGAGAGAGAAGGAGTTGAGATCTCTGGGCCAGCTTGAGCCAGCTGTCTGGTGCAGCAGCAAGGATGCACCAGGCTGCAGGGGAAGTAAGAGCTTGATGTTCTCCAAAACTCAAGAATGAATGATGGTCTTTATAACAAGTGAAAGTGAAGTAAAGTTTGGGGGGTTCTAGAAGCCTACCTTTCAGAGGACTAGCAAGTTGGCAGCCAGTGGCTAGATCACTAAGGAGGATGTAATCAGAAATGAATCAGACAGAACGGCCATAAAGAATGCAGAAACAGCTGGGTGTGCTGGCACAAGCCTATAATCCGAGGAGCTCAGGAGGCTGAGACAGGAGGATTGCGAGTTCAAAGCCAGCCTCAGCAAAAAGCAAGGTGCTAAGCAACTCAGTGAGACCCTGTCTCTAAATAAAATACAAAATAAGACTAGGTATGTGGCTTAGTGGTCGAGTGCCCCTAGGTTCAATCTCCCGTATTAAAAAAAAAAAAAAAAAAGGCCCTGTCTCTAAATAAAATATAAAAAAGGGCTGGGGATGTGGCTCAGTGGTTTAGTGCTCCTGGGTTCAATCCCCAGTACTAAAAAAGGAAAAAAAAAAAAAATGGGGCTAGGGACATAGCTCAGTTGGTAGAGGGCTTGCCTCACACGCACAAAGCCCTGGGTTCAATCCCCAGTACCACAAAAAAAAAAAAAAGAAGTAGAGTGGACTTCCCTATGTCCCTTTTCTTTGTAATTAGCATCTCTAAATCTTGACATCACACAACCACTTTACTTCATTCCTTCTCTTATTTCTCAACATTATGGATCAGGTAGAAATGGAGTCACTATCAGGGACGAAAATCCATCCTCCTTATTCACCCAGATGGTGTCAGTCAGAAGGATTTTTTTTTTTTTTTTTGGCAGTGTTGGGAATTGAACCCAAGTTCTTGTACATGTTAAGTACCACTCAGCTATATCCCCAGATCTCCAGGAAGATCTTATCACAATCCCGAAGTGCTCACAGAATGAAACAGAGCTTTATGCTTAGGGATACAGGATCATTTGGAGAAGGATGCTGGTGGGAGGAGGACATTTGGCCCCCACCACTGTCCAAGGCTCTTAACTTCCTTGACAAAGGAGTATAATAGAGAGGGGGCTTGCCCCAGTGTCCCAGTTCTCAGGCTTATTAGACTACTTCCACTTCTCCAGGTGTCAATACAGGGGAAAGATCAATAAAATTTGGAGTGTGGGTTATCAGGTAACCAACTTAGTTAAAAAGATTAGGAAGAACTTCCAAAGAGGGAGAAGCACACAGAGGCAAGACAGAGAAAGTACTTGTGTGAAGGAAAAGGGAAGAAAGAGATTTGAGCAGAGTGAGTGCAGTCCTCTGGGGACATATATGACTCAAACATGTGTATGGGAACAAGGGAAAGGGGGGGACAGGTTTCTGCTATCCTGTCATTCTATCCCTAGACCCCAAATTCCAATCTTCTGACACCTATGACTAGAGACTCCGGACCTCAGCAGATCAGATACCATCCCCATTCTCTTCCACCGCATCCCCATTTCCCCAGTAGCCAAGTTCCAGATGGAAGGAACGACACTGTGGTTGGGATGCCTTCCTCTCTGTTGCAGTGCCAGCTGATCCCGACTGCCACGGGGCCCATACAAGAGAAGGGACAATGAGAGGCAAAATCCCAGCACTCTTCACCCAACCAACACATCTTGCTGAAGCAACACTTCTCAGAAGTCCAGACATCCAGGGTCTCCAATCCCGCGATTCCCCACAATCTTCCCAGCGCGCTGGACAATGCAGCAGAATGAAATGGTGTTACCATAACACCTGGGAGTCTTTGGGTTCCCCCAGGACAGCCCACCAGTGAAAGGTTCCTTCTGGCTACTCTTCAGTCCCTCAGGAGCGCCTCAGGTGGTCGGCACCCACAACCTCCCATGCGAAGGATCCCAGAACACCTAAGAAGCCATCTAGATCTTCTCCCAGAGGAGTTCCCAAAGATGTCAAATTCCTAAACCAGGAGCAGTCTGGGAAGATCTCCTAGAACCGTACTGAAAGTTGGTTATTTTCTCCCTCCACCTCCTCCACCTCCCCAGCGTGACCCGTGGGTCCTCCTAGGATCGCTCCCCTCCCCCACCCCACCTTTCAGGCACCTGTGGCAGAATCCAAGCAGGATGAGGCGAGAGGTGAGGCTCCGGGTGTTGGCTCTGGGGAGGCTAGGTCAGAGCTGACACCTCCTGGGCGAGGATCCCTGTTACCTCTGAGAACCGGTCAGGGCCGCGCCCCGCCCCTGGGCCATTTCTGGGCTCTGAGTGTGGAGGCTCCAACCCGCTGAGCGCAGAGTCCTGAAGCTGGCTGGAGCACCGGACTGGTCTCTGAAGCCCTCGGTCTGAGTTCTCAGTCCTTCCTCCAACCCTCCCCTTTTCCCCGTGGCCCTCCTCTCCTCCTGCCCCTTCTGGCCAAGAGAGGAAACTTGAACCCGGTGTGGTTTCTGCCCACACCCCGCCCCCGCCTTACTCCCGGCCAGCGGGGGCACGCAGGGCTCCAAGCCTCTCCCAGCCCTCCTTTTCACCCAGGAGTCCAGCCAGGTCTGCGTTTCTCCCATGCATATGATGAATTCCAACCTGATGGTCCACTCAAGAGTGACCTCTAAACTGTATACAGGTTGGAACCTCCTTCCTCTGTCCCCGTGGCTTTCTTAGCGACAGGGAAACTGAGTCATAGCAAGGTGAAGGGCTGCTAAAGGTAAGGACCAGCTGTCTAGCTTCCCAGTTGTATAGGCAGGTGGGCATTTAGGGTACAGCCTCCCTCTAAAGAACACCTAGGCCCTGAGAACACAGTTAGGGACCTACTTGGGGGAGGAGGGGCTGCTGGCTGCTTTGATGTGTCCTTTCACCTTTAGACTTCTCCCTTTCCCCCTCAGCCTCAGATGTCCCAGGACAAAGGCTTCTTTCTTGGCCAGGTTTTTTGTTTTGTTTTGCTTTGCTTTGTTTTGTCAGTGTGTTCGGAGACTTGGGTTGGGGGCTGCCCAGTAAGGGGATTATTCACCTCCCAAAAAGGAGACCCCTGCCTGCCTCTGCTTCCTTTCTTCCGGGCAAGGTACCCAAGCCACATGGCAGCCACATACCCTGGACAAGCCAGGACACATGTGCAGGTTATCAGATTCATCTCCAAGCAGCTCTGCATCAGGCCTACCTGTACCCCTAGAAGTGTCTCTCATTCATCCTTTTGTCTCCAAGAGTTTGATCTAAGACCCAGACTAAACACATCTCTCTCTAGAGAGTAGGAGAAATCTTTCTTCCTCCCAGCTTTTAGTAATTTTCAGCCATAAGGAAAGTCCTTTATGTCTAGCTGCAGTACTTCAATACTTAGAGTTGCAGCTCACACACTTTTTTTTTCTTTTCTTTTTTTTTTTTTTTTTGACCAGTGATTGAACTCAGGGTGCTTAACCACTGAGCCATATCCCTAGCCATTTTTATTTTGAAACAGGGTCTTGCTAAGTTGCTTAGGGCCTTGCTAAATTGCTGAGACTGGCTTTTTTTTTTTTTTTTTTTTTTTTAAGAGAGAGGGAGAGAGAATTTTTAATATTTTATTTTTTAGTTATCGACAGACACAACATCTTTGTTTGTATGTGGTGCTGAGGATCGAACCCGGGCCAAACGCATTCCAGGTGAGAGCGCTACGGCTTCAGCCACATCCCCAGCCCAAATTGGAAACATTTAAAGACTGAGGAACCAGGTGCTACCCCAAGGTAGAGCTGGCATTCAGCCAACACATTCTGATAAGATTGGGTTCACCATTAAAATAATGGAAAATTATTCTGTCCCAGTTGATAAACAACAGCTGCTGTGAGCCCTCCAAGTGTTCCTTCTCCACTGCACCTCAATTTAGCCATCCCAGTTCTTTCCTAAGATCCCCACAACCCAGCAATATAACCAAGCAAGAAGAGAGTAGTGTTGATACCGCAAGAAGCCTCCTGAGTAAGCTTGCCTTGCTGGGATTAATCAATGCCCATGCCAAACCCATAGCTAAGTGCTTTGAATTCCGTCTGTATCCCAGCAGATCATGACTGTGCATGCATGATTTGTGTAGGGCAAACGGCAATCCAATGACTTCATTAAATATTACATGTGGGCTCAGACTCTCTTGACCTGGGCATGAATCTGGCAGGTCACATACATGGGCACTCAGGTACAGCTCCCTCAATTGCATACTTACTTGGACCCCTCACAGGGGATGAGAAGTGGTGACAGTCATGCTTGTGGCTGATTATCCGATGATATCAGTTTACAGATAGTCCACAAACATTTATTGAATGAGAACTACCAGTTTCGGACACTGCATTGCAGATACAACTATAGATAACACAACTTTTATCATTCATTCATTCCTTTAACAAATATTTACTGTCTACTATGTTTTACATTCCAGAAACACAAAGATGAATAAGACATGGCCTATATCCTCACAGTGTAGTTGAGGAGTTATATTAATAGAGGTCTTTCTAAAATGCTGTGGATTAGATGAGGAAAATCAATTCTGCCTGGTGAAAATCATGAAAGGCGTTACAGATGAGGTTGACAATTGAAGGAGGCTCTGGAAAAGAGGAGGTGTGTGAGGGCCTGAGTTCCATATCCCTAGCATTGCAAAAGAAGAAAGAAAGAAAGAAAGAAAGAGAGAGAGAGAAAGAGAAAGAA